AAAAAAAAAAAATGCCATCTCACTCACATCGGGCAGCATTCCATCTGAATAAACAGCGCGGCAGTATCTTCACCAGCAGAGCTTGAGCCACGCATGTCATCATGATTACTCTTTGGCTGCAAATTCTCTGTCCAGGCCTGATAGACAAAGACAAATTGATTTCCAAGCATCATATCAAAGACGGATTGAAATGAGTCCGTTGATGATGGCTTCTTTGTTGCCAATTGAAAATAACACGGACAGGAAACAAGATCATACAAGCACAGACAGTTCATACGAGTTTACAAGGCCATATAAAATCATTAACAGAAATTCTTCACCCGTTTCCTTCGAAAGAACAAATCATTGAGTCCTTAAGTGAAAATGTCTTTTAGCTGTATTTTGGGAGGGCAAAGAGAGGTTGTGTTTGATTTGCCTTCTAAACTGATTTGAAAAGAAGAAAAAAAAAGAAAAACGAAAGAGATTAGAGAGCTAGAATTTTGAATTCCAAACAGTAAAATACCTGATGGTAGCGCACAATATTTTTGTGATGCATCCTAGCATGAGTAGATGCTTCTCTGCACATTACAACATAACAGATCTCAATCACCCATCAGAGGAAAGAGTTATAAAGGCTAACCTTAAAATAAAACAAAACAGTACAACCTTAAAATTAAAACAGGAGAGATTTAATACCTTAATATTAGTTCTCTGTCGTGGTAACTAACTTTGATTCTCTTTACCGCATATTCTATACGATCAATCTTATATTTACATTTCATGACTGTTCCATATGTGACATGGTCTATGTACAAAAAAATCAACAAGAATATTCTAAGAACAAGCAAACTACGGAAAATAAGACCAACCTAAGTTTTACCTAGACATTGAATCTCCTCAAAGTCCTCATATCGGCGGTTAGAAATCTTTTGCCGAGGACTCTCTAAATCAGAGCTGCTGTCGCTGTCGCCTCTAAAAAACTTCGATGTAAGCTAAAATAATAAAGGTAAAACTCAGTTTAATTAGATATTTTTAGCTATTTAAAAATAGAGCTACTGCTATTTTATCCTGTTCTCTCTCATCATTAAGCTGTGTTGGACAGTCTCTAGCTAGAGAGAAAGGAAAAGAAACAATAGAGGAAAACGATTTAAAATATATGCTCTTCTTACCATTGTTATAGTACGAGGAGAGGATTAATTCAGAGAGTTGGAGGCTTTTTCATTCAGTTATATAACAGCTAGAGTGCAATGGTCCCCTTTGCCTAGGGAGCTGCCACCTGTACTGTAAGAAAAACAGTGTGGTATACTGGACAGGCCCCACTAGATCATATGGAGGTTGTTTTTCTTCTCCTTTTCTCTTCATACATGGTTATGTGATGTGCTTGCTGTCTTTAAATGTGATTAATTACATCAAAAGTTACTCTCCCTTCACCATTTTTTAATGTTATCTCCAATAAATTAAATTAATTTTCTTGTTTTTTATGTGATATTTCTGCATGTACTTTGTTATTTAAATAAGTCCTTCATTTATCATGATTTTACAATTAAAATTTAGTATTAATTAATAGCAACTTAATCCTACTTACAAGAGAAAACTTAAACAATGGGTTTCATTTGACAAGTCAACTAAATACTTAACATCTGCATTTGAACGGAAAGACTTACTCAAGTAACATGAGACAAGTAGAAGGGTTAAATTAAAAAACATTAAGAAACAATTACGTACGGAAGTAAATATTAACTTTTGAGTTGATTAAAAAAATTAGATTTCGGTCAAGCATACTAATCCATGCTAATATTATTTATATTAACAAGGCGATACGAAGGAAAAGAATGACGAGTTGCGTCTTTACAATAATTGTCAAAAATTATTAGTAACTCTTGACCCTTATAAATATTTTTGTTAACATAACAAACAATAATACAAAAAATGTATGAAGAAAAATAAAGAAGAGAAATGATTCTCAAAGAAAAACTCCTTGTCAATCTTCAAAAGGAAAAAAAATAATTATTTCAGTATATAAGGAACACTTAGATAATAAATAACAAGCATGATTCATTATTATTTAATGTCATTAAGCTTGGAATAGTGATACAAGTTTATTAGGACGTGTTTATATTATTTCTTCCTATAGCTAGCTATCAGAGTATGTTGTTACTCATCTCCTATTCTAAATTGGATGTTTGATAAGTTTATAACATGTTTTCAATGATTAAATAGTTTCTGCGATTAAAATGTTTTAAAATTTTCTATATCAAGTTAATTGATAAAGCTGGATCACTCAAAAATAAAAATTCAAATAAAAGTTTAT